GAAAATTACGTTTACAAAAATGGTATGTGGCTCATCCTGATAAATTGAAAAAAAAAATTACACGAGAATTAATTACCACAATATTAGCACGAAAGCCAAAAATGTCCAGTTTCTTAGAATGGAAGGACGTTAAGGTTGTCTATAAAAGGTATATCACAATTACATGTAATTGAAGCATAACAAATTTTTGTTAATAAAAATTTCATTTTGTTTTTGTGACAAATTGAATGAACAAATTATTTTACAGTGTATTATCTTGTTTTATAGATACGCCAGTTTATATTTTTGTTGTGCAATAGAACAAAACGATAATGAATTATTAACATTGGAAATTATACATCGTTATGTTGAACTATTAGATAAATACTTTGGAAGTGTAAGTATGAACTTAATTATTTATTCATAATAAAATAAAGTTAAGTAAAATTTTTGGAATACAATTTATTCAAAATTCATTCTTATACTTTTTTTTATATGTAATTTATGAACAATATAGTCTATAAAATTAGCACAAGAATTGTATTTTAGTATGAGAACATTTTTGCTTTACTTTATTTTACGCGATAACAAAGATTAAAGTTTTAATATTATTTTAAATATGTTACTAGGTTTGTGAATTAGATATAATTTTCAACTTTGAGAAAGCATATTTCATCTTAGACGAATTATTGGTTGGTGGTGAAATTCAAGAGACTAGCAAAAAAAATGTTTTAAAAGCCATTGCAGCTCAGGATTTACTACAGGAGGTTAGTTATGGGGATGTACCCATTGAGTTGTGACTTGTCCTTTTTAACGATATTATAATTTTTCTTTGTTACTTTCTAGTAATATTACAGAGTTGTTTTAAGATATACATGTCTTCCATATACGTTGTCATCTTTTTTGACTTTTGTTTATGAGAAGGTTAATTACATTTTTACAAGTTTTATTATATTCTTATAATTTTTACTGTTATATTGGTATTTGGAAATTCGTTTAAAACAACTCTTCTAATATATTTAACCATCAATAGTTGGTGTGTAACATTCTTATGAAAATAATCAAATTTCATATTGATTAAGAGGTATATATACAAAATATTAAAACCTCTTGACTGATATAAATGTGGAGCATGTTTGTAGCCTGTTTATTCTGAGTAAAATAATGTGATGATATTTAAGTTTAATTGTATTATATTATTACACATATATGTACAGTTCCTTTTTTTAATATAAAAATTAATAATTACATATTAATACTTACATATATATATAATTCACATTTACTTTTAAATGCACATAGATTAGTTTACAATGATACTTAATAAATTTAAAACAAAAATGTACACATCAAAAGAACATGAATCTAATTACTATATTATGTAATATTCTTTTATGTGAAAGCAATTATCACATTATTTTACTGTCTGGAAAACTGGGTTATCATGATATTTTAATGTTTATTAACAGTGTAATATCTAAATTGCATGATGGAATGTAATTCTTTTTATTTCAACATCCATGTGTTGTTCTTTTTTTGATTTGATATATTTCCATATGTTTTATGTGCTATATATATTATATATTTTTCTAATATGAAAATAGTTCTGTTCTTTTATGTAGTTTATTACAAAGTACTTAAAGTTTTTATTAATATTTAATGTGTGCTGTATGTAATTATTGTTATATGTTTGGTTCGAAAATCTGTATTATAAATTCTATTAATATGTATATGCAGTCATGGAGAATATTCTTTATTGTTATGAATCATAAATGGGATTCATATCTTTTCAATATGTGTCATAAAATAATCGTAGTTTTATATTATAGTATTTTCTGATTATAGTATACACACACACACACACCATAATCAGAAAAACAAAAAATGTCTGCTCATTTTTTCCAGTAATGTTAAGTAAAACATTACGCATAAATGAATATAGATATATTTTATATTTAAAACTGTTATAACTTTTTATTTTTTTATAGCTAATGCTATGTGGATAGTATGCTTATACGCTTATCCTCTCTTTAATATAAGTGGGCTTATACATATTATGAATTCTTATTCATAATGTATCCAACAGCATATCTATAGTGATAAAATGAAATGCATAAAGAATTATTGCCATATTTTAATATCAAACACTGTGTTCAGTATTGTGACATACTTCATAAAATTAGTAATAATATGATATTGTTTCTGGTTCAAATGTTCCTTTATCATAATATTTTTCAGACTGAAGTAAATCAGTAGAACTATATAAGAAAAAATAGTTAGCTAAAAGAATGAATCTGCATTATGCAAGTAAATGTTATAAAATATGTTTTAATTATATAACATAATTTAATTAATATAATTAACTTATAGTATTACTAAAATATTAACAAGACATAACATCATTATAATAAAAGTTATCTTTTCATTTTGATTTTTTAAAAATTTATTAGATATTTAGAGAAAAATTTTTAGCTTGCTTCCTATAGATCAGCAATATTTCACATAAAATTAATTTATATTTTATTTGACATTTTATAAATATAAAAATATAATTATTTCTTTAAATATAAAAAATTTAGAATGAAAATTTTCCATAGTAATCTTATTTTGCAGAAATTAAATAAATAAATTGATGGCTTCATTTAAAATTTGGTTTATATATACAATAAGTTTTTTTTATAAACAAGAATCCTTATAAAATAAATTATTAATATTAAAATAATAGTGTCAATATTTTTAGAATATCTTTTAAGATATTGCCAATTAAAATATTAAACGTTAAGATCAGAAAAAGAATTAACATTTTTAAATCAATAGCTTCAGTAATTTTATGAAATTTTAAAGATTACTTTCATATATTTATACAAACACTTTTTTATTTCCACCCTTACAATTATTGTTTTGTAAGTTTTGTATTATATAATATAAGAAATATAATATAATTCATTATAAAAATTACATATCTTCATTTTAAAATTTTATAAAACTTTATAAAAAGCTGTAAAAAATAATTAAAAAAATGTTTTTAATTTTATATATCTAACTTACACCATTTTATTTATTTAAAATAATCTTTCAAATATTACTTGATGCATAAATATTAGTATTTATATTTTGGTTCTATGCATGAATTGAGTAATATAATGATAACAAAATAAATATTATTAAATAATATTGAGTTTATTTTTTTTATTTTGGTAAAAATAATAGTATAATTTAATCATTTCCCTTTTATAAAAATAATTACTTCACTTTAAAGAATGTGATGCTATAGAAATGCTGTTGTCTATAAGTAGTTATTGAAATGTATGTATATATTTCTAAATTGTAATAAATATTAATTATGGTCAATTATGTTCATAATTTTATGTTGTAATGATATTTATTGTGATAGATATGATACCTTAAGTGGTATCATGATAAGTTCCTACAATGCGAAAATATGCTTGTATGTTTATTATTTCTTTAGATTTTCGTTTTATAGATTTGTAATATTTATTTATCTTATTTCAATAAGATATTATACTGTAAGAGCAACAAAAAATTAATGGGTTTATTTATTCGTAGACATATATAAAGTAATTTCTCTTAATTATATTTTGTTCAAATATCAAACAGTTTAATGTTAGTGATAGATATTTTTTAACAACAGTTTATAATATGTTGTAACTATTTCTACACATATAAAGGATATGTTATGTTATGTTTATATATCATTGTTGTAATATGTGTTTAATTTGGAATACCACTCTAATTATTACACAAAATAAATAGTATATTTTGTGATTTATTAGCAGAAATTTTTATGGTAATATTATCAAATTTTTTTTTTACTAGTTCAATTGTATCATGAAATTTTTGGAAATGGAAGATTGTGTTTAAACTTTTAATTAGAATTTCTACCATCAAATATAATAATAAATCAATAACTTTAATAAATTTGTGCTTAATGAGAAAAATATATTTTCATTATACTAGAAAAAACATTTTCAATATTAAATTGAATGAAAAAACAAGAGACATTTAATATAAAAATTGCAGTAAACCATAATAAATACACTTTTATCAACATGGTATTTGTTATTAATTTTATTGATTTCATTTCATTTAAGTGTTAATCAAAACCAGATAATAAAAGTTTTAATTCGTCTTTTTGTGTTCAGAAAATTTTATAATATATATCGTTTTTTATAATACATAATATATCAAATAAAATTAATTTTCTTTGTCATATTATTCTTATTATAATATATTTTGTAACATGTAATTTATTAATAAGATTCAGCTCAAGATTATTGTTCCGTTACTAAGGACATATCTAGAAATACACTAAAGATTAGTTAGAATATTTGTTTGTTTGTGGAAGGATGAAGCTGTGGAAGGTGCCCTGCGGGAGATAGGGCTTTTGTAGGTGCTGCGTTCTTGCATGCCCTCCATGGCCAATCTGCCAGCCCACGTGAATCAAGATCCGGAGCAGACTCATCCGCTGCATGATGTCATCATACATCTCTACTTTTTCTATAGTTATTGAGCATCAATTTTTTGCGTATCACTTACAACCCTTACAAATTTAGTATTTGAACATTAGTATATTTTTTTATAGGCGAGTATCATACATAGATAGATTTAATAGTACATTCATGTAGTTTATGTATATTATATATACATGATATATATCATATATCATATATCATATATATACACATTATAGAAATTCTTACTAATTACGAGATTGCTTTTCATTTTATCATTGAGCAGATAATAGCATATAATATAGTAAGTCTCGTACTATGGCAATAAAGTTATGCACATTTAGAAAACCATTATTTCTGTATGTGTAAACACAAAAGAAAGAAATGTTTGGGTATAATGTTTACATAATTTTCTAACTGCATAAGGAGTTTTTCTCTAAAATGTATAGTATTATATTTATCTACTTGAAAATATTTATTTTAGTATTTAATTAGAGGTGAATGTTTGAAAGTATCACTTTTATATGTGTACATGTGTATATACATAAACAAGTGTCAATTTTTAATATTATAACTTTAACATAGTATATAATAATACCCATAATAAATGTATACAAAGCAATTTTTACACAATTGTATACAAAATTATATACTACCTTTTCCATGTAATTAACTCATTATGTATTTATTGTTAACCCATTATGTATTTACCCTTACAGGTGTTAATAGCATATATCTTCAATTATTTGTGTATAAAATAAAAATATCACTAGAATTTTTATTTATTCACTCTTTGTTCTTTTGTTAAACTTTATCAAACTTACAATATATACACTTGACTATAAATACAAACATTCTGTACGCAGCATGCAATACAGACATTTTTTTGATTGGTACTTAAGCATTTTAAACGAAGCAATAAATGAACATGTGCTTTGTGCAGCTTTGTGTATCCATACAAGTATATACTCAGTTATATGAAAAGGGTTCAGTTCACCATTTGAAGCTGCATCAAGGAGATTACTTAATTACAAACTAGGTACGTGTTTGTTTATATATTTTCATTACTGTATATTTGCATTATATGATAATGTGCAGCATCAAAGAAATTGATCCCTCTTCATATCTTTAAACATGCTTTTTATATCAATCTTTAATTTAATAATACTAATTCATATGTTTCAGGAGGAGACACCACAAGGTTTCTTTGAGGACCATGGCCTAGGATAATACTTTTTAAACAATATATCCAGCATAACGTAAGTGGTGTATTCTTACAACACTGCTTCAACGTTCCAGAATTTTATTTACAATAAAGTTTATCAGTTAGATTTAAGAGTACTGTGGGGTCATTAATAAGTTGAAATCAAGCTTTTTGTTTATAAACTAAAGTAATGTATGCCGAAAACGTAATCACTGTTTGAAAATTCAGTGAAATGTAATCAGTACTCTACACACGTTGAAAACCAGACAAATTGTTTTTCTTTATTAAAATATTAGTATTATACTACTTATTATATAGATATATGTATGTACATTTTTCCTGATTGACATGTTATTTAACCCTTTATGTTTTATTTTTTTTTTTTCTTTTTGTGAAATGGTACATATTTTTTTTTCATCTTTATTATTCCATGTAAAGAAAGTTAAAAATTTGATGATAGAACAATGATATTGTTCTTTAATACATAATAAGGAATGAAAATTTTATGTCTTTGAAAGGAATATGTAAAACAGTATATTCATATCTGCATTCATTGTATTATCGAGCTGTAAATTGCATTTATTATATTTATACTTTTGTGATTAATACTTTATATTTTTTTATTTTGATTTAATATTTCAATAAAAATATACTACTTTTTTTCGGTTTAGGACCAGTTTCTTTTATGATTAACGGGCAAACATAATTTAATCGACAAATTATATTTGACTTATAAAAAGATCTCATTAAATAAATATAATTTCTTTTTATAACCAATTTATACATAAAGGGTTAAATAATTAGTGAATATTCAATAACATTGTCGTTATACATGTATTAATGTATCGTTCGCGAGGTGCTTATAAAAATTCCATTTGCATTTATTATCAGTTTTTCGAATTGAAACACATATAAGCGTTTAAAGATGTCATCGTGCTTTATCAGTCTTTAACAGTCTTATTATTTATAAATAATAGTCAATATATTTGACTTTAGCATTTTTAAGCATACCGCTCAACAGCAATTCAATCGTTCAAATAAAAAAAGTTGAAGATTTTCATAGAAAAATTATGTGAATGAGAATATCAACAGAAGTCATTTTATATGAATATTTCAAATATCTGATATTTCAGAAAATATTTCATTACATCAGAAATGCATTGCTTTTGAAAGGAAACACAGCTTCTTCTACAAAGTTCATAGTTACGTATTTAAAAATAATTATTTTCCTGTTAAATAAAAATCACGCAGAATTTGCGACCCTTCGAACATAATATAGATAGAAGAAAAAATTAATAGAAATTCTGTTATCGTTAAAATATGACAAGATAATTACATAAATCGCTAAATGAAGAAATTTTGCTTGTTACAATTAATGGTTGAATGTTCGATATTACTACTTGTATAAGAATTACACAGTATATCCAGATTAAATATATATATATTCGTTTATTATTTAAGTTGAAAATTTGGCTCATTTTTCATTTATTTACTAGAAATTATATATGAAAAATATTACAAGCATTTAGTGGTACTTATATCTAAAATTTTAAAAGAATAAATCCAACGAAAAGACTGTTTCTGCACTTCGTTGCTTCTATTGCTTGGAGTTTAGAAATTTCTAATAAATTCGAAAGGATATTTACAAAAGTTTAGAAAATAATTTGAAAAAAACTGTAAATTGAAATTGAAGAAATTCCATGATATTACAAAATCATCGTTCTTTTAAATTTCACGAATTTAACTTGGATATGCTGTAAATAATTTCCGAAAATTCTGCCGAATTGATTGATTAGATAAAGCGAAAGGACGGAGAAATAT